AAATATGAAATCTTTTGTCTCATCCTTCAAAAGAGACATTCGTCTAGGAAAATCTTGGTATCCTGAAAAAAGCTTTACAAGTAAATTCTTTACCATTATTTATTATGGACAAAATCGCCGCAAAAATCGCTAGTGTAAACGGGGCTTTATGGCGATCTTGTATTACTAGGATAGATATCAACACGTTCCTCTTTATTTATTCCTACTATACACGCTAGTACATGGTTGCGCAATGACTAGATACCTTGTTTATGCACTCACTTAGTTTAGTTTACTTTAGTTTATTTGTCACAATATAAACATACATTTTATGAAACTTGAGACATATAAATTTTGTGACTGGCGAAGAAGACAGAACTTTCGTCCCAATTGATATTCCCTCTCCCTACAATTTACATACAGTACAAACATGATTAACATTAAAATTGACGAGGAAAAAACAAGAAAAAGAAAAACATATCAAAATTTATCAAAATTCAAACTTGTCTTTCGGGCCTGTCGTATAAGGCCCTGACTAAACGAGGAAACATGTTTACCGCGCGCATGTTTCCTCGATGTTTCCCAGTTTAGCCACATTCGAAACATTGCTGCGTGCAACAAATTTTGCCTCCAAAATGTTTTGACTGTGCGGCAGAAGCATTTCATGTTTTCAAGACGCATTGAAACATTGTTTCCCGATGATTCCTGACAGTTTTGCCACCTTAGGAAACATTTAGGGAAACATGTTTCTGGAAAAATGTCTCCTCGTTTAGCCAGGGCCTAACCATTTTGAACAGTGTTATACAATTCATTCGTTACATATCTTCTTTGAAAACGTATTCTTATAAAGTACAATAAATATTCACATTATAAGACGCATATTAACCAACATTTTTTTTACTTCAGCAACCGCTAAGAATGCGTATCAAGATATCATACAAGTTAAATGGAGCACCCATCTCTGAACAAGGAGAAATCAACAAATTCCCGCCAGGGATTTGATGGCTTGTCCCTGAACAAAACCAAGGGCCAAAGCCAGTTTTTGTACCAATCAGAGCCCTACTGTATATGTATAGAAATGTATTTTTAAGATTGGTCGATTAGTAATTTCCACAATTACCAGTAATTGATTTTTAAGCTTCTATCAATTTGATTACAGTCATCAAAAATGGCATCCATGTAAAGTAGCGCACTTCAAGGGTTTTTTGACAAGTGCACTAGAAAGGCTTCTTGAAAGCGATCTTGAAAGGTTTCCTGCTTTTCTGTGGCTTTAGGTAAATCTACACCAGCTGTAAAATGTGTAGAGATAAAACGTTACTAATGATAAATATAATAACCTTAGGTAGACATGGAAATGTTTTGGACAATTCGCGCTACTCCCCTCCCCCCTGCGAAAGACCTAACTGGGTAGCTTTCCATTTCACATACGGTACTTATTTCAATAAAGTTAGTCACTAAAAGCCTAGAAAGCTGTGATCGCTGAGCATCATGGGAAATATTTCATATTCAACGAGTAAAGCTTTTGACACAAACTGCAGCAGTTGAGGATGCTCAGAGGAGGTTAACTTGTAACTGGTAAAAGATCTCGAGTCCATTAACAGTTATCAAGCGGTTAAAACGTAAAATGTATCTATCTATAATCCTTGTCGGTCTCAGCTGTGTAGCTTTTCAGGTGTGACTATTTTTATTGAAAATAAGTGTAGACCATTCCAAGTCTCTGTCTCTTGAACCGCGTATTAACACAGGAAGCCCATGCGCGCGATGTTCGTGACACACTGCACACATCTATCAAAAATACAATACCAATCTATAAAGCATATTACGATCAAAAATAACATTGATTCTCGTAATGAGCTTAGTTAATCCCAAGTAGATGATATTCGGTATTCACGTCGTCCAACAGACATTCTTATAGAAAATAACACGATAAAATTGTATTATGAATATAGGTTATGACTGTTAATTAAAGTATGTCTTCATTTGCTCGACAGTAATTATAACTTTATCGTTCACGATTTTTTTCTTTGACCTCTTGTGATTTTGCAATATTGTCTTGCTCGTACGTTTCGTAATTTTTCAATTTTGCATCATGTCGGTTTTAATTTAACCCCAAATATATTCACATTTAGTTAGTATTTTTTCCTGACATCCTTCGTAACATTATGCTTATACTTCGTTGTATGCGAAGACTAAAACGAATAACTATTATATAAAAATTCCAAATTTTGTTATCATACGTTGTCAATGTTCCAAAAAGGAACAGTTTCGTGCAGAATTTTGCCCCAAAAAAACTCCGAAATCTTGTCTGTTAAGAATTTTTACCTTTTCGTCTCATTGAGAATAATGCAATAACGTTCCGTAGACAAAATAAACCCTTGGTAATATGGTACAGACAAAAGTGTTCTGCAGATCTTGATATTTCTTGATATTTGTGAGTAGAATTAATACGACAGATTGTTTATTATACATGACAGCCATTGTAGAACAAGAATAATTTTTTGCACGAAAAAGACATTTTGTAAAACTCCCACTACGACTGTAGAATATCAAGAGGTTTGAGTTCAAGTATGTCAAGCTGTTCATACAAATGTCTGGCAGTGATGTTATTAATCACATGTTTAAGTCTTGTAATAACATGATCGATTGACTTGCCAGACTCGGTGTTGATGGAGCACCTCTCGAAATAGCAAGATTGATTGAAAAATTTCCAGCGCTGTGATATTTCTGAGAAAAGACTAGTAGTCGTCTATCAAGGATGTGTTAATCATCATTCACGCGCATATATCACTCCCGTTTGATTTATGACATGGTTAAACTTTTTTTAACCAATCGTTGAAAAAAAGCACTCGGTCAAAGATTTTACTTCTGTACCGACTGGAAGCGGAACAAAAGCAAAAATTTCAACCTCTTGCTAAAACGACTCTACATTACACCTATTTTGTTGCAATAAAATAGCCATTATTCACCGTGGTCAATTTAAATACTCCTTTTCAGACATAATAAAGAAACAGTTATTATGACCTATTCTGATTTGGCCCGAAGTTGCACTTGAGAGGATTTTTTTTCAATGCGCCCATATATAGCGTTTGTAAGTATAAGTCGTGACCGTTACCGACAGTCAAAGTAATTTTAGCATATGTTCTATATTTATAAGCAAGCTATTTGTGTAGATTTATTATATCTCCAACGTCTTGAAGAATCTCGTGGGTGTTGTCCGATTATTTGATTGATTTATTCGAATTAGCAACCGCAACTCAGGTTGACAACGTAACTTTGTCTATATGCGGCGTTACCAGCAGTGTAGATGTTATTTTTTCCTGATTGGTTGGTTGCCCTACAATTGTTTTTTTCTTCTTTTCAGCTTCTGTTTAAGGTTTTACTATTCCCGACCACGTGTCATTCCCTTGAGAATAAGATTCTTTGTTTGAGTTGTATCCATATTCATGTGTTTTCTAATGCACAACCGTTAAACAAAGAAATGATACTCTAGGGAATGACGCTCCAGGGATTCACTGGCCAAACACAAAGTGCTCATGTGAGGCACCAAGGTACTTTCAAAACATTCAAATTTGAACCTTGCAACCTCGACTGAATGCTTTGTGTTTGACCAGTAAGCCGATGTATGGAAAAATGGTGAATTTCAACCCCAGCCCCACCCCAAAAAAGTTCCCAAGGTCCTCAAGCAAATACGAAGGCCATTTCTGACATCCATAAAGGATCCGTCAACGTCAACCCCCTCGTACATCAGGTGACTTCGGTAAAGTGATGTACATAACCTTGACCGTGAATCGCTTCATTATCAGTGAATAACCGAATGACCGTTTCCTGGACTCCTAATTACTGCCAGAGTTCATTCAATCTAGAATTACTCAATTGAAATATTTCTAGGCGGCTAACAACACGAAAAAACTAAATGTCGCTTGCTTTGTTGTTCAGTCAAGGTCGATGTAGAGTGATCTTCCTCAAATCATAAAACAGTTTCTAGTAGTTAGTACCCTGCGAGCAGAGCCGGTTTTTTTCTGACCCTCCGTGGGCTGGCTGGTCGAGGAGAACTTTTTTTTTTTCTCCCCGACCAGCCAGCCCACGGAGGGTCAGAAAAAAACCTCTGCTCGCAGGGTAAGTAGATAGTCAAATAGACATAAAAGAAAATAATGGAAACACGATCTACTAACCTTTATTAGTCTACTAACTGTTTTATGGCCTGTGGAAAATCACTCCACAGAGATCGAAAAAGCACTGTTCCACATCTGGTATTTCTATATTCCGTCCTTACATGTTCACATGATCAGCTTGCATGGAATTTTCATTCACTTAAGTGTAGTTGTAATGTTTCGCATGTTCTGGATGTTGTGCGGTGATCGACAAAGTCGTTTCCAGCAGTTGTATTAATAGCTCATAGCGGTTTCACACTGATATAAATGCAGGATACATAGTTGAGGTCCATATCAGTTATCAGTAATAGCCTAAAGGGGAAAACAAGCACTGATTGAACGCTACGTATACTTTGAATATTTCCTATGACGATAGCACACCACATTGACTCGTCCTTCGCACAATCAGCGTGGAAAATATCCAGTCATTTCTTTGACCCCCTGAGATAAAACAAACTCATAACGACGCTCAATTTCCTGGCCAAAGCATAACATATCGTTTTCTCGAATATTCGTAAAGATGGTCTTTGCAATATACCACTTTGGGCGTAATGCTTTCCCACTTCAGACCATTCTCTTAAGATATAAGATTCTTCGTTTCTATGTTTACTCATGTACAATCGTTAAACAAAGAAATGGTATTCAAGGGAATGGCGCGTTGTCTGAAATAGCAAACATTACGGCCGAGGTGGACACGAACGAGAAACGTCTGCGCATGCTCTACTGAGTCCGTTGGGAAATTAGTCGAAACGTCTTCGTGATATTAGAGAGTTTTAGATTGACTTTTTTTCTCCCCGCAAACGGCAAACGTGACCACGTTTTCATCGTTTTCCTCTACTTTACTTTACCTTTTACAAACCTTCTCACCAAAGACAAATATTTTTTTGTTTTTCTACTACTTGGACTTTTTTGCGATTCTTTTTCAGTAATTTAAAAGAATTTTTTAATGGTCAACTGACGTTTCACGTTTGCCGTGAACGTAAATCTAAAACTCTCTATTGTAAAAAATTGGCATCTAGATTTGACTTTCAAACATGCCTGATAAATGGACTTCACAAAATGCCGAAACCTAGTTTCCACGCTTGAAACTTAAGGCTGACTAATTCCGTCCTTACTATACAGCATCTTGGCCTCACAAAAGTACACTGAGAGAAAATGAACATTTACTGTCTCACTAAATCTGACCTAAATTCTTAGAAAACGTGGTGAATGGACGGCATGCGCAAACGTTTTTCTCTAGTATCCCCAAGATGAAGAGCTGAAGTGCATACTTAAAATATATAGTATTTCTCAGGCTATTCGATCGCTCAGCGAGGTGCAACACCCGTAATTCTTCCACGCCTTGATTTTGATGTTGTGAGGTCAAGCCTTTTACAAAATTTACAATGATCTTAAGCCCCAGTTGCTAAAAGACTAGTCTTTTGTTTGTTGACCCAAACGTAAGCTTAAGTGACCTATGGGATGTTATCCACATTGTAGATAAGAAAATCATGGTGTGTTACGTGAGGATTCTGCGAAGTCGTCTGATCTAGTCGTTAGGATAATATCATGGAACATACGAAGTAAGAAGATGAACCATGAACTCAGACTATATTTACTATCGGAATTCTCTCGCTCGCGCTGGGGAGGTGACGTAATCGCTTATGGACAATTTTTTCGTTCAAACATGATCACGTGGTACGGAAAACTCAATCACGTGGTACAGATTCGTGGGCTCTGTTTTACGACTCCACTGATTTCCAAGATTGCCTTACCTTACTTGGTACTTTTATCTTTATTAACATACTTTTAAAGTTTGTGAATTGTTTTTGCTCTTGTTTTTCGTTTTATCGCATTTTGTTCCTATTTTCATAAGGAAATACAAACTCGAATAAGGAGAAAACTCGCAAAGCATTTCGGTAGTGGTAGTCAAATTACGCAAACGTCCTATTATACACCGGCATTTTCTCTGTCATTCATAAATAAAGACAAATTACAATCTAGTTGACCTTGAACGCTTTCTCTCCTATCAGTTTTATTGCTATTTTCTGAATATTTAATTGACAGTCCAATCTGTAAGATTATCCTTATTAACGTTAGTCATCCATCAAGATGGATGGTTCATTTTCTATTAACTTCAGAGTTCATTAATTGACATTTAACCAGATCACAAGTAAAAAGAAATTGGATAGAAATCTTTCCTTATATGTCGTAACTCTTAGGCTAAGATTTCCTGACAAGTCCGGCTACTTTAATAATGATGATGATCTCTAGAAAACTTTACATTTGTCAAGCTTACTATCTGTTCAATGTATTATCTATGGTACGAAGGAGTTTAGGATTTGGAAGTTATTGAAAGCAAAAAAATGCTGGTCGATTAAGACACTACGGTTCGTCTGTTATGAAAGGTCCAAAAGGGGGTCAGTCCTAATCTCCTTTCCCAGGCCCCATCTTGACCACCAAATTGCATAGTCCCAGGCCCCATTTTGCTCAAAAAGTCAATCCATTCATATTTTTTTTAGTTTGTTTGTTTGTTTTTTGTTTTTGTTTTTGTTTTTTTATTTTTGGTTTGTTTGTGAATCCCATTCCCAGTGTACAAAATCCCATTTTCACAGCCCCAAAAATGCGAATCCCAGCTCTCATTTACCCATTCAGGACCCCCCTAAGAGACTCGAGCTGCATGGTCGCTTAAGGGAGGCTGGTCGATAAACAGAGAGACCGGTCAATAGACCGTTTCTCAAGGTATCCACATATAAGGAATTTGATGGGCCACGATATCTGAACACGAGTATTATCATGCATTGCTATGAATTTTTTTTGATAAGAATTCATAAATTAATTATTCTCCTCTTAAAATAAAACTGTCTTCTCAATTTACTGAATTTGCGTTTTTCAGTTTTGTGGCCCGTCAAGTTGGATGCGCTCGCAACCTTGAGAAAACGGTCTAATTGAACCTGGTCGTTTAAAAAAATGTTTGAATAAACGAGTTTAGTAATGTTTATCAAGTGTTTACCAAACTGATTATGTTGCATAATCTTATAATAGAGGCGTATCACGTTATCTCTATTACGTATATAATGATTATCTTATCAAACTCTGTCACGTTTTCCATTTTTCAGCTGTTTCAGTAACATTTCCGCGCTTCATTCATTAATAACGAGTTTATTTGGCAGTGGGGTTATGTTTTTGCACGAAACTCTAACAGTTGTAGATCAACAAAGTTTTATCTTATTATAAATCATTTTATTTTGCCAACTGCCCTTAGGCTATGGAAGGTTTGACGTTCACTGATGTTAAAGAAGTGAATCTTGAAGCCAATGAACTGTATTTGTAAAGACATCTTGTCTCTTGGAAGCGAGAGCGTTTGGCCGTCGATCACACACAATGAAAAATTCTTTTTAAAGGTTTCTCTTTTTCCCCTCTTTTTTATTTGCAATTCAAGGCTTTTAATTAGCTCCATTGTTTGAGTTTGCTATTCGAAGTGAACTGGAAAAAAACCTTGTTTTTGGCCATTTATTTAATTATTTTATGGTATTTATAAATGTATCTTTAAAAGTGTATTATACTTAACTTTGATTCAATTTTTTTACACAGTGTTGTTAAATTTAAGTCAAATTTAATTTAAATTAGGAGTGAATGAAATCTTGATTTAGAGTCTTTTATAAACTGCAGCTATTTCCTCGCAGCGGATGTTGTTAAACCCTTCTTCTTCTCCTCGCCATCATCTTGCATTCATGTGTTTTTTCATGAAAGACAAGCTTCCTTAGTGCCACTGATGACAAGAACGCCAACCATAACATAATAACAATTCCAAAGAACATGTAGAAAATGAAAACATTACGTCAAAACATGACAATAATATAAACAACAAAATATGCCAATGCTTCCAAAATGTTGGAATTGAAAAGAATCTTCATGGTTGGTCTCGTTTTCTTTCATCGTGTACAACTAAATTATCCAAAGTCATTGTTATTGTCTTTGTTGTGTAGGAAGTACATCGGAGCCGGCCTAGCGTTGGTAGCTGGAGTATTTTAATGTTTCAGCAAGAAATCATGAAAACTCAAGCCAATCGTTTCCGCTAGAGTTTTCGAATTCTTGACACGAAATTCACGAATATTTTCATGTTCAGGACCCCAAGACAAATTAAAAAAATAATAATAATAGTAAATATCTCAGAAAAATAAACGTTTTACCTCTTCATGTCTAGAAAAAGAAAAGTCTACAACGTTGATAGTTTTTTTTTGTATAAATATGGTACATATATGTTCGAAATTTCACGTTGCCATGGCAACCCTTTTTTTATTTTTAGTTAAAAAAATTCTAACTAAAATCTTAAGAGATATTTTTAAATAAAGTCAATAAGTTTTTTTCTTTTGACAAGTGGCAAGATTATTTGGTATCTCTTGACCTTCTGTTAGCCACGAGAGCACTAACTGTAGATAGAAGCACTTGAAACTTCTAACTTTTTCCTGTTTTGCTTTCACCTGATTGACGCTTGAAGAGGTTCCTGTCGCATTATGGCTTAACGATATTATTCAATGTTCGATTGTAGCTTGGGTTGTTTCACCCGTCGTGTGCCATGTAAAGGTTTTCGCACGCGCGCTGGGTTTCCCATGATGCGAGCATGGAAATATTTGAATACATTTAGAACCAACTAGAATGCTATCTCTTTGAGGCTATTATCCAAAACACAACAGAAAGTCCAAGTATCTCAAGGGCACGACTCTGTCATTTCATAAGACAATACACTTCGAGATAAGTAACAAGACTACAGCTCCCAACAGACCACACTCGACATAGCCGTGCTAGGAATCCTTGCTTGTTATAAACTGTTCACTCTAGTATTATATAATCAAGCCATTTTTTAGCACAAATGATTGGATGGGCAAACATAGCATGAACGTTATTGAAAATACACCTATTTATCATAAAATGTAGACATGAGTCCAGACTGTTCACACGCAGTGCGATAGTAACACAAAGCGAATATTAAGCTTGGCCAAGTTCAACTCATCTACGGGACTAAAAGCAGCTTGAAAATTCACTATTTTGAAAATGTTCTAGGCGTTTTAAATCGATTAATACAAACCAGAGAACGTTTATCTCAACCATAACACGTGCGATGCAGTTGGTGTTATTTTATTGCCGTGTACTCTTTTGTTTTAATACATAAACAACTTGTATAGTCAAGATATAATCGGTTTAAAACCGGCTTTTTCTCTATTTGTTTAAGATTTTAGTTCATCAACCCATTAAAACTAACACGAATAATGAGTGCAAACGCCTTTTCCCCTATAATATTCATTCTCCAGTAAAAAAAACAACAAACGATTGCTTGCTTACAACAAGGCAATCGGTGCATTCACAAATTCGATGTCCTTGAAGTCCTTATAACAATCGCTCAATAATTGAATGAGCTGACTCGCTAATTGTCGGATAATCGATTGAATTATAACTAAATACATCTGTATGCATGTGTTATTTGCCGACATCAATCAATCTCAACATAACCAACCAACACTAATCACCACGCTTGAAAAATTTCTCCTCTGACAGCTGAATGGCTTCCGCGAGAATCTCGGCTCCAAAATATCATCTTCTCTAGCCTTCGTTTACTTTCGCGAAATTTGCGAACAAGCGGAAAACACTGAACGAGGCGAATGTTAAACCAAGAAAAACTAACAATAGTATTAACCAGAAGACAATAAGCAATAACACAAATCAATAACACAAATCATTATCTAGTTTTGAAGTCGGATAATTATAAGTTGTCATGTACACCATATAACAGCAGAATTAGTTTTTCAGAAGCTTGCTACACGAAACCCTGAAGAGGACAGCGCGGCAAGAACACAAACAAGCCGAAACGTCTGTAGTGTCAGGGTCGATCAGTACCGAAATACGACTACTCGCTTGGCTCGTTCACTGTAAACGACCAAGGCAAACAGAAATAAGAAATAATAACGTGAAGTTTTTCATTTTTAGCAGAGCAAAGGACACCGAATTATCGCTGCCCTTTGAAATGTCATGTTGGGCTATTGAACGGCTAACAATCAGGTCCGTAATGCCAATAATATGAGAGACAATCATGCCACCTACGCTAGAGCAACTCATTAACTACACCGTACAAGTCGAATCCTGGTATGCAAGACACAACAGCAAAAAGGGCACCCACTAAGGCGGAGCTTCGAGCCGCAAACTCACCCACATGGGCGGGTTTTCCCTGTCAAACATGTCTGTTTTCTTGTTGGCACTAGACAATAATAAATGTTCGCCTAGTTAACAACTGCCAGTCTGCCAATCAGAAACAAGAGTTTTCAATACATAGCTTGTTCCTATTTTAATTCGATTGGTGCTAAGGGAAGACGTCATGTTCAATGTGTCAAAATTGACGCTCTTTCTTGTAGCGAACAAGATGAACCGATTGGGAATATTGTTTGGTGCACAGTAGTGTAGAACTGTGTTCAAGGATTTCGTAAATTTGTACACTAAACGCCAGGATAGAAGATACTTTCCCCAGCACATCGTGGCGGCCTCTTTCTCGACTTTATTTTTGGCTCTGACGCTGGCGTTGTGACATTGGATTACGTTACGATAATTTATTTAAATCTGAAGTGGTCTGAATTGAATCTGTTTGCTAAGTCGCTGAGTTTTTGATGTTATTACAAGAGTAAGAATGGCTAACTCTACTGCTACCAAGATGCCGTGCTCACAGTTCGGGTGTTCATATTCACCTCAGGTAAGTTTTAAGCTCAGAGATTTGTACGAGTTGGCGTACTTGATTCTTGTACAGTGCAATTCAATCTAGACACATCGTCATCTTTAATTGTCTCGGTTCTAGTTGGTCCTACACGGCAATGGTAGCCCTTGTTGTGATAGTAGTCAACAAATCCAGGATGGTTTACCTGGACAATCCGTCTGTCCGTGTCAACTAGACAGAGTTTTACAGCACCGTATTGCTTCTATGCCCGTTAATGTTCTTCCAAGACCACCGTTTGGGGACGGAGCGTTCACGATTAGTAGCGGTTCAGGGCTATCAGCCTTTTATTCACCACTGGTAAGTCCATTTTCTCATTGTCTGGTTTGCAAACCGCATCAATATTGTCTCGCAAGAGCCCAGCTAATTCTCAATTTTGTCTTTTAGCTTAACCTAACAGAGTTTTCCACAAAATCCTGTTCTATTCCCTTAGTAGTAATTAAGTCTAATCAGATATTTTTGTATTTTCTCCCTCCTCTGTATTTGCTGTCGGCGGTTGATACAGACAAGAACGTGTGACTTCAAAGACATGGCACAACCTTGGAGAGATTCATGGTACCTTTCGCAAGCAACTCGAAACCCTTTTGAATTCCACGGCTTTGATCCACATACTCATGCAGCTTGCACTCGCTTTGCAGAAAGGTACTCCTCCACTTTATTCTAGTATACTAAATAGTCTTTACTATCCAGGCCACTTACTTAAATCTATTAGTGCCCTTACATTAGTGTAATCTTACGCTACTAGCCAGCGTGTTTCATAGACCATTTAGATGATTTCCTCGTAGCATTAGAAGATCTGTTAACTTGTCTCCCCGTCCAACGTATCGTTTTAAAGCTACTCCAGTCTTATGTAAGGTACTATATGCTTGACAGAAAATGATATGTACACAGTAAAATGTACTTTCAAGTAGACATTACAGACATATATAAGGGACAACCTAGATAATACTGCTAATATTGTGGGATGATACTTTGTCACTCGTCCTGAAAATGGACTTTCACTTACGTTTTCTCTTCAATTTTTAGATTTTCGCCCATCGATCTAGCAGCCGCTGGAGCAAGGCGAAAAAACGCGACAAGAGAAACGACAAGCACTCTTAAAGCCTGGCTATATGAACACAGAAAGAACCCATATCCAACCAAGGGTGAAAAAATAATGTTGGCAATATTGACAAAAATGACACTCACTCAAGTATCGACGTGGTTTGCCAATGCTCGAAGGCGACTCAAGAAAGAAAATAAAATGACCTGGTCTCCAAGAAATCGTTGCGGAGAAAGAAAAGACGGTGGAGATTCAAGCGACGTGGAGGATATCGATCTGGACATAAATAGTGATGATGAAAAACCATCTGAATCGCAGTCAGACATTAAACTTCAAGGTACAAGCTCATGAAAAACTCTAAAAATAATCCAGTGTTCGAAAATAAATGCTTAGTGTTCCATAATGATTGTCTCCCGGTTAGTTTTTACTTGGAAATACCAGAAAGTGGGTGGAATTTTAGATAACCTTAACATTTAAACACATTTCTATATTTATACAAAGTGAAGCTTAATGTACCCTAATGTGTGTTGCCCAGTAAACAATAGTTTAGTTTTTAAGTTTGGTGGGTCCCACCGTGAAATTTTTACTTTGGCGTTGCCTGAAATGTGAATTTTTAGACAATGGCGCTGTTTCCAATTCTTTTTTTTTAATATATATATTCACTTACCCCAAGCTGCGATTGTCTGACATGAACCGAACCAGTATTATACACGTCTTAAATTGATAAAAAAATTATGAAGATTTTTTAAGATTTTTCTATTTTTTTATTTTATTTTTATAGAAAACGAAGAAAAAGAAAGTAAGAAAGAAAATATTAAGAAAAACGAGGGCAGCGATGAAGAAAAATCTTATCGGGACTATCCCAGTGTTGAGTCTGAAAAATGCGATTTTTTTTGCTCTAATGTCGATGAAACAACAACTGCGGTTCCTACGCCAGCGATAAGGAATCTTCCTGCTATAATAACCAAGAGAGAGCTTGAAGTATCTGGTAAAGTAGAGGACTCGCCTGTGAAAAGTCTTCGAAAGTGGGTCGATGGCTGTTTTTATAATCCACCAATGTCATCGAGTCCAGTTCAGCCTTCAAGTCCTGTACAAAACCATCAATCTCCTCCTTCGATTCAAACACAAAGAACTTCAACAGAAACTCCAGTTATAACATCAGGTATGATACAAACCCCTGCATATCAAAGTAAATCTTAAAAACATGTTTATACTTGTATTCGAACTTGCTTATAATGATTGTTTAGAGCGATTTTCAAGTGTTTTAGCCACTATATCATGTATCACAACGGCTTTTATCTGAAATTTGTTGTGTTCCACCCATTGCCTTTATAGACCAACACACGCTTTAAGAGACACGAAAAACAATTTAACACGACTGCAGAGATAATCATTTATATAAGAGTATGAAGATGGTTTTGGTTGTAAGATGTTTTTTTTCATAAGTTTAAGAATTAGATGTTTAATATGTTTTCGTGCAAGACTGACGAGACGGCAAGACTTGTGGGTGTGCAAAACAAAACCTTGTAAAACAGTTCTTTTACAGACAAAATATCCCATCTTTTAGACATTCGTATTTTACTTTAAAAGTCTTTTTATAGCTGTTTTACAATTGTTTTGCAACCTTTGCTTGACTTTAAAAAGAACACTTCAATAACACGGTTTCTTGACGGCCCAGATGATTTATTACTGGTTTAAATAAAAACAGAATCAGTGTTACGATCATAAACGTTACTTCAGATCGTTACCTGGCATATCTCATCTCTTGGCAGAGTTCCACTTTTGCAATGTTCTGTTCTTTATGACCCCGTATCATATGAGCCATTTGGAAAAGATTTTTATCAAGAGGTTACATCACAAAGCCTAACTGAACAAACTTGCCGGGGTCAATCATGGATATCTTTTCCTTAACGATACTGTTTTCTGAGAACTGCTGCAAAGTAATTAGTAAGAACGTCTTCAAGAAAAGTTTAGCTTAACTTATATATGGTCCTTATTTTCTTGTCCCTCTTGTTTTATTCATTCGAAATCCGAAATAATATACCATTAACTGCGATTATTAAACCCCAGATACTGGTGCAAGAGAATGTAGTTATATATTTTTTGAAATGGTTTAATTTTCAAACGTTAATTTATCGCCTTACAACCTTCCAGAAGGAAGGAAGTCCAGTGACTGAATTCAATTATGAAGAGCCCGTTAATCAAATCATTTGATCAAATCTTTCCTAAGTCCTTAACAAATGTATTTTCAAAACTAGTCTGTCGAGGACAATATTGCCTAATCCCCATTTTAGAACAAGTCGAGACGAGAAAACATGATAAAGTTTGTGAATTTTTGAATAAAGGTTTGTGTTATTGCTGCTGGAGAGTCGAGGACTATTTCGAACAGTTAGGTCGGTTCATTTTCAAGCTTTTTGTTTTTCTATGAATTTAATTTACTGTTTATATAGAATGGAGTTGGTTAGGTGTGATGGTAATAGGTTATCATGTTTTCAAGTTGGTATTTCGTGTATTGATAACTTGTTACACGTTTCCCCATTCAATATTCTGAAAAATGTCTCAACATTTAGTATATCGCCTAGAACTAAGAGATAAGTGGAAAATATCTTTTCATTTCGTCAAAAAAACCGGGATATTTTTCAAATTTTCTCTAGCTCCGAGTTCAAAGACATATAAACAAGAGACGAGAGAAGTCAGCCAAGGAGAGAAAAGTCCAAGCAATGTTGTTCAAGAAGACGCTCTCCGACCTGATGAAGAAGTGAAGTCGAGCAGTAACAACGCGTTAAATCCCTCCGAGAAAAGGTAAATATCTAAAGCTAACTGTTTGAACCATGCTAAAGCTTCAAATCTGTTTCTTTTAAAACAATTTCTGTGTGTAGCAAAGGGACTGAAAAGTGAGCGACGTAGTGTAACGAAACTGGACGATTTCACCCTTCGCGAAAAAAATTTCCTTTCAAGCCTTTTAGCCCTTATAAAAACATCCTTATTTCTGTTACTCGATAAATATTCCCTGACTGATTTATGAACTCTACTGCTTTCTCTTTTGAATGGTATTCAAGCCATTCCAGACAGTGAGTGCTTAAGGGTGTTTCTTAATGTCATTTGTCCACACTTCACCCACTCCAAAATACTAGAGCATTCAATTATGACCACAGTACAAAACCGCTTACCAAACCAGTGGTGAACATCAAAAGAAAACAAGATTTTGTCTGACAAGATAACAGTGTGACATTATTGTGTCTAGAGAGCGTTTCAGGAACTTGTGTTTTGTGTGTTTCAGTTGCTAATAAAAGCTCACTCGTTGCTTTCTATTTTTCTTTTACGCCTTTTAGAACCAATGAGCCTAAAAACTACAGAGAATTTGACGCTGCATTAGCACTAACGACACTTTCATCGCGATAAAAGCCGAAGAAAGCTGAACCAAACTCTACAACTGAACATAAAAAGAACTTCCACGAAGGCAGGGCTTTCTTACCGAGTTCATAGATAAACAAAAAATCGACTGATAGGCTGAGAGATGCAAAAGAGTCAGTAGCTAGTGCTCAGTCAGTGTGAACAATTAAAAGTTAGTTGTAGACTAAAAAAGACCGGGTTAAACCTGTTTTCTAATCGTGTTGTATTTCAACAAAATCAAAGCGTTTTTTTTTTCTCTCGTGTGTTTCTACTGGGTATAAAATACCAATTTTCGATGTTTTTGTTGATGTCATGTTTTAAGGAGTTAGTTGTGTGTTTGTTTTCTTAGTCCATGACAAAAAGAAAAATAGTTTTAAGACAATCCTGGAAGGAACTCAAAGTTCAAAACATCCAGTGCTAAAGTGTTTTTTTTACGAAATTGAGAAGATGTTCTTGATAAAGAACAATGTCTTAGCTTTCAATGTCGAAGAAGTATTGTAAATTAGAAAGACGTGGTGTAAAGGAGATTGAATTTCCCACGACTACACCTGAAGTTTTAATTTGAAATGAGAGCTGGTTTGTAGATAGGAGAAAAATAACAAATAGAAAATAATTTTGAAATAAAAAATGCGTCAATAGTTTTATGGTGGTCTAAAATAATCAAGGGTGGRCCCAAAATTGCCGATTTGATTACAACTTATAACGGTTTAAAGATTAACAAGTTTTTTCACTGGATATAAACGTCAATAAGTTGCCGTATTATAAATTTTCATTTCGCTACCGACAACTTTATTATTTCATAAAATATTAGATCTAATATTCAAAACAATTTTGGAGAATTTTTGAAAGTTTTTTTCTTTTTATCGTACTCGTCCTGATTTCAAATATTGAAGGTCGGAAAGCGAGCAGAGGGATACTTTAATATAGTGAATAATCAAGCCAAAAGCACTTTGTAAACTGCATGAATAGGATGTCTAGACTTGGCATTTGAGATTAAGTCCATCGTGTTGTTTTCTGACCCACAAACAACCTCAGGTCAGACCAGATATTTTCAGCCGACAAGCACTTCTATTCTACAACAAGGCGTACATGAAGAGACAGCATCGCGTGAGCAGATGTTAACAGATTATATCTCTACGTACAATAAAATTTCTTGTCGCAATTAATAATTTACAAACTCGTTTCCAAACAATTATATTCCGACAATAATGACATATTGTGAGACCAATATTTTATTTTTTAGATTATTTGAAGTAGTCGCCATCTTGAAGCAGATTTATCGAATTCTACTTCATTTTTTAAAAACCAACTCAGTGTTACAAAACGATTTCTAGATATGAAAAGCTATAATTTTGGAATGCTTAATTCGAATTAGATGAAATGGTATTGATATTTTATGCACTGCTTTTTCGTTGAAAAATGTTTTAAGAATCATTCGTGGAAAAGATCGAAAGGGCGCGAAAATTTTGAACGCGCGTAGCTAGGTTTTCACCTCAAGGCGCGAAATGCTGTTGTGCACCGTAAAACCTTTCTTTCATCGTGCAAAAAAGATTCGAAATTCAAATTTATGGTGATGATATCAATATTCTGTTTCTAAAGAAGAAAATCTCGTCATATCTAATAAATATTAGAAGTGTCTCGTTTTTCTTTTTTTGATAGTTAGACATTTCTTTTCTGAGAAATGCATTAATATAGGAAACGACTTATTATATATTTTTAGATATTAAAGGTATTTTTAACTATTCATTCACTAATAGAAGGCGTAGATATTGCTTGCAGACAGCCACTTGTTTAATGATTGAGAGCCGTGAGTTTACATTTGAAAACCCCTCAAAAATGATTAAAAACGAATCAAGTAATTTGTTCTGGCTTTCAAATTGAGTGGACACAACCAAGGAAAAATATATGAAAAATACAATATCAAGGAAGGATTCTTAATAACAAAAGTGGACACTGATCCCTTAATCCGTTCTAAACCTTCTACGCCATCTCAATAAAAATAGTTCAGTTAAAATCGGTTTATTTACTAGAAATCTTTATTAAAATAAATGAAAATTCTCGAAGAACAACAGAGAAAATGACCCCAATGTTTTGGTAAGCTATTTGCCAGTTTATATCAAATTGTCTTAATCAATTATTGGACGACAAACATCTTACCGCAAAGCCAATTTTCCCGACTGATTGTTGGAAAACTCATTTCCCGCTACGCCTTTTTGGAACTCACGACAAATTCGATAAAAAATGACAGCTCTTTAACCCAAGACTCGAACCCTCTGAATCCTTATTTCAGTTCATTTTCGACGCGATTGACTCAAGCGTATTATGAGCAAATGACTAATCTTCCTAAACAATGTTCCTACGCTAATTTGAAATCGCTACAAGCGAAACTACACGCTTATTAGTCACCATGGCAACAAGACATTTGCATATCATTATGACATCACAGCTTGTTTAAAGAGAGAACATAATGTAGAAGAAGAAAAAAAAAGAATTGCGACTAGTTAATTCTTGCTCTGCAGCTGAATTGATAGTTTGTTCAAAAAATGGTGTTTATCCTACGATATATACCGTATTTGGTGGCTATAATTGCTCTTTTCTTTGTGTAGTTGTTGTTTTGAATCCTTCCTACGACCACGAATCTTAGCGTTAACGGATCGTTGTCATGACATCCTCATAGTGTTATGGGACAATTAGAATTTGTTTTGTCAGAGTTAAGATAGCGTAGTTCCTTAAAATAGCTTGTTTCCTCAGAAACTTCTGGTTTGAGGAGAGAGCATAACTAATCGGTCTGTGGTTAACGATGTCTACCGAATAAACACCAAATATTATTGCAAAATTCATCCTTAAGTTTGTCTTTCCCAGTGATACTTGCTGTGACCAAACCGTTTATTTTCATAAACAATAAGTACTTTTCGTCCTTAAAAACCTGTTTGGATAACGAGTGTTGTTAGGCTTTAAGTAGAACAATAAACACTCACCACACTTAACCACACTGACGTCACCCACCACAAGAAATTGCGTGCTGTAGCGCTCTGGGGCCCAGAAAAGGGAAGAACGAATCATATACCGGAAAGAGTTTACTTTCCCAATCTAATTTCAACACGACAAACGTGCTCGGTGTTCTATATCATTTTTAATATCAAAATTATTTTGTCTTCAGCGATTCAGGAAGTCTATACGTGAGATTATTATTCTTGATGAAGAAGAATTTTTTGGGGTTTTTTCCGGAATTCTAATTGGAGGGGAAGAAGCCGGATCGAAAAAGAACCAAGAAGTTGTTTTTAAAAAGATTATTTCCATAAACCGTTAAAATACCGATTGAAGTTTAGAAGTAAGGTGAGAAAAACTCTTAAAGCACAGGAGAAAACCAACGTGCAAGTATTCGATCATGCAGCCGATAAAACTTGGGGGGGGNGGGGGGAGGAGGGCAGGGGCGGATACAGGAATTAAAGAAAGAGTGCGCCGAAAAACCGTATACAAATACAAGTTTTGCCAAGTTTAAAAAAATATACATCTTTTAAAATTGGGTCCGAGGCCCCGTCGGCCAACCCCTAAATCCGCCCTTTTGCTGTCCCATAATTAAGCTCAACAAACAAAAGAAAATTGGCTCGTCATCCTTGTAGTACTCTTTAAAATTAATACTGTGTAGTTTTTTTGTGGGAAAAGATTTTAATTCCACTGGGAAAACTGCTGCAACGGTGATTGGTTCACTATTGCCTGGGCCAGAGTCAGAACCATGAGTAGAAAAATGGTGCTGGTTGTACGAAGGGTGGATAGCGCTATCTAWCGGATAAATCTTATCCAGTGGATAAGTCGATGCTGTTATCCATTAAATGTATCCACTGGATAAAATTTATCCAACGGATAGCGCTATCCACCCTACGTACAACCGTGCCCTGGTGACTCGTGTCTGGAATGTTATCCACACGAAGTTCAGGCATCTTGACTATCTGATGGAATAAGTTTTAACACGCCATAA